TACTACTACGACGACGACTACTACCCCTACCACGACGACGACGACGACGACGACTACTGCCCTTACCACTACCACGACGACTACTACTACGTCTACTACCTTCACTACTTCTACTACTACTACTACTACCACCACCACCACCACCACTACTACTACTACTACCACCACCACCACCACTACTACTTTACAACCACTTTTATCATCGTCGTCGTCATCATCACCATCCGAATCATAATCATGAAAACCGTAACATTTGCTATTGTCATCAAAACTGCGTTAGGTTTCTTCTTACTCGTATTCCGGTTCATGAGATGACAGGGTTTGGTCCCAACCTTGGGATTTCCCGAAGCCCTCAAAGGCGCCACGGGTCCTTGCTGGAGCCAGCTGTCGAAGTTCGGAAAGAGGTTGAGGGTCCTGGGACTTAGAGCTCAGGGAAGTCGGATTGAAGGATGAAGGCTTCCGGGTCAAAGGTTTAGCGATTTCGAGAGACAGGGCTGTCGAGGATTGATCCCTAACAGGGCCGTCCTCCCCCAAAAAATAAGCAGGAAAACTCCGCAGCCCTAAATCTGGCCAGAACCTCAAACCTGGCCCACATTGCAATACCATAATTAATAGTGACCTCGTGACACAAGGCATAGAAATAAACCCTTCTAAACAATACACTAAACCGGTCTAAAGCTTATACTCCTTGCAGCAAGCAGTCCTGGATTTGGAGACGGTGCCGGTTGCGGCTGCGGTTGTGGCTGCGGTTGCGGCTGCGGCTGTGGTTGTGGCGACGCGCCGTTCTTCTCGAGGACCTTTCCAGCTTCATTGATTCATGGGTGCAGGGCTCTTGAAGAAACGACGCCCCAAACAGCCTGAACTCGACAGCCCGACGGTGAACACCCGAAGGCCCCAACTTGCAGTTATACTACAAAACACTAGAGCCCCTAACCCTACGATCCACAAGCCCCTAAACATCACCATCCTGAAGCCTGTCACATCCCACAGACCCCAACATGGAACAATCCGCCTAAACAACTTTCTTCAGAAAGCCCACCCAAACCGATTTCGACGAACATCCAAAATCGGAATCCTCGAACCGAGCTCCTGACAGCCCCCGAGACCCGGAGGATGCTTGGGCTTTAGGCTGTCGGGCGCTTTGCGTGCTTTAGGAGCGTTTTGGCGTTCTGCAAGGATTTGGGGATCTTGAGTCTTCAGGGTTGAGGCCTGGAGGGGTGAAACACAGTTTTTGGTGTTTTCTGGTTTGAGGATGCCTATTTATCTTGAAACCCTCACCCTTAATCCTGAAGCGCTGAAGCCCTTCAGCTCCGATGTCGAACAGCCCGTCAAAGCCCTGGAATTTAACACTCCCTGCAAGTTTTGGAAACGTAGCGAGACACTGTCCCAACAATCGTAAATCGCTCTTTCTGGGTTTCATGTACTGCTTTCGCAAACCCTCACAGTGGTAGTCTTAAGCTTATGCTGCAAGGGATCTGATAGTTGGGTCACTGGGACCATGCAGAAAAACCCTGCTCCAAAGGCAAATGGACGTGAGAGAGAATTTGATTATTGGATTTGGGTGCTTTTCTCGCTGACCTGCTTCCTTCAAGCGGATTTCCATCCGTGACAGGGCGTAGGTCGACGGTACTTGGTGCATTGGGGTTAAAGATGTATCCCTTGTATAATCACACTGCCATAGTCTAGCTCTCTGCAGGGCCAACAGATAAACCCTGATTCAGGCCGGCTCTCTCCAGATTTCTGTCCAGACAGAAATGCGGATCAAAGTTGGGCATTACAATGGTGTTGACGCTTTTCCGGGTCTTGTCCGTCGTGCTTCGATTCGATCAGAATCTGTCGATACGCTCGCCCTCTTCTGGGCCAAACACAATCGATGCGGTCGATCCAGGCGCGCACAGGACCGCGATCCGCACCTCCAAAAGCCTTGCCGTGGCGACGTGGTCGCCCTGGCAAGATCCTGCCCAAAAGCCACCCGGCCCTGCTCGCTTGTCCGACATATAAATGTCGCTGTCATAGCAGAGATACCTAAGCCAACCTCGAGCAAGAGGCAGGCATTTCAAACAGGTCTCGACACCGAAGCACTCCGAGGCGTCACACCATGGATCTCACCCCTAAGCCCTAACCGTAGAACCTCCAACCCCAGCTCTGATAGACAGCCCTGAGTAAAGCGAAAGGCCTTGCAGGTCCAAGGCGTGCGAAAATCCTCACCGAGCTTCGATGGTGGGTTGGGCGATTCAGGCTGTTTAAGGCTTGAGGGGTATAGGTTCAGGTTTAAGGCATCCATGGATCTTAGGCGTTCGGACTGAGGGTTGCTTCAAGCCGTTCGCTCAGGCTTGAGGGTTGCACATGCCCGACAGACTGGCTGGCCGGCCAGCCTCTCTCCTACTGCATGCATGTATGTATATATATATATATATCATTTATATTTCTATGTATGCGAGTATATATATATATATGTATAAATAAATAAAAATATATATATATATATATATATGTATATGTGTATATTTGTGTACACACAAAATCCAATAAGCACCTCATACATGCAGAAAAACAGCGGGGACACAGAGATACTAGTACATGTGTATCTCTCTCCCTCTCTCGCTCTCTCCAGTCGCTCTCTGTCTCCCTCTACTCTCTCTCTCTCTCTCTTCACGCCCTCCCGCGCCCCTCTACCTCGACGTACCTGCGTGCACGCGCACAGACACACGTACGTGTGTGGGCATTCATGCCAAGAGTTTCAGGGCAGCAAGCACCCTTGCATTACCAACCGAGCCGTGACAGATAGATAGATACATAGTTAGATAGATAGAGAGGTACAAGGATTGGCAGAAAGACCTAGATGGACGGGATGGAATTTCGAATGGGATGGGAGGGGATATCATAGGATAGGACAGGAAGATGAGATAAGACGAGAAAAGCCAAGATTAAGTGAGATAGTGATGTATAAGACAAGACAAGATAGCGGAAAGTAAATAGATAGATAAACAGACAGATAGACAGACAGATAGAAAGAAAGATAGATAGATAGCTAGATAGATCGAAGGAAAGCTAGATAGATAGACAGCTAGATGGATAGATAGATAGATAGATAGATAGACAAACAAACAGATAGACGAGAAGACAGGTAGGTAGGCAGAACGATAGAAAGATTGATAGGTTGATTAGATAGGTTAGATGGAGACAAACTGCTTCGCTTAGATAGACCAAAACACATGCAGACTTTAGACAGACAGATCGATAGATAGGTAGATCGACAGATCGATGGGTTGATGGATGGATGAACGGATAGATGATGAATAGTCAGATAGACAGAAAGGTAGGTGTGTGTGTATATATATATACATGGTCATATACATAGATGTATAGAGATGCATAGATAGATGGACAGATAGACAGATAAATAGGTAGATAGATAGGCAAGCAGACAGATAGAGACAGGTAAGCAGACAAACAGATAAATCAAGTGCGCACACACAGAAGGAGCATAATATGCAGTACATGCACACAAAGACATACATGCATGCATGCATGCACGCACGCACGCATGCATACGTACCTAAGTACGTACATGCATACGTACATATATATATATACATATATATATATATGTATACATACAAACATACATACATACATACATACATACATACATACATACATACATACACACACACACACACACATGCATACATGCTTGCATGCGTACCTGAAGACAGCCATAACTGCATATACATACATTCATGCTGGCATGCATGCCTACATACATGCACAGGCACCGGCCCAGGCACGCACACGTACAGATACAACATACACATACATAGAGACAGTTACATGGACATGGACATGTACACATACACACACACACATATATATATATATATATACACACATGTATATATATATATATATACACACATACATATACATATACATACACATGTTTATCGATATTCATGCATTCACAAAAAAATGGCCCATGAGCGTACAATTCGGCTTCTTACTACTCTTCCTGCCGAAACTCCTCCGGATCGGTGGGGTTCAGGCTGCCGGGCTCGCAGCTTCGACGGCAAGCGGCCCAAAAGTCGTCCTCACAGCAGCCCAGAGCTAGAGGAAGGATCAAACAAATAGGATCTGAAGCCTGAGGGTTAGAGATACATTTAATGGCTTCCGATACCCTATACGGGGTCTAGGGTCCTGCAGCCCTTGCTTTATGACGGGATGGGGGTTGTGGGGTTCAACGGATCAAATAAGGTTCTGAAGGCTGTCTCCAGGCAGCATGTCTGAGGTTCATGGGCTCTTCGGTTGGGGTTCCGGCTTTGGGCATACAGGGCCACAGAGGGGTTTCAAGATTTTGGATCAGGAGTTTAGGGGTTGGGCGTGGCGGCAGGTTGGGGATCGGATGTGGGTACAGGAGTTGATTCTGGCTGTGCTTCAGCAGGTTTGGGAGCTGCGAGAGACAGAGACAGAGAAGAATAGCCGGGACTTCCAAGCCAAAACCTTACCATACTCTCATCTACATGTACAGCTACACTCTTTACTGATCAACTCTGAAGCCCGGCTCATCAAACCTGGATCTCTCACATCCGTAATCCCAGAACGTCAGGATCGAAGAGTTTGCATCGTACCCGATACTCGGAAGCCTTCCACATGTCCGCTTAAAGTAAGTTCGAATTACAGCATACAGGATACCGCATCAACGTTCTCCCTGTCGCCTTTTCGTAGCAGGTGTGCTCGGCTTGCTCGCAGCAGCCGGCATTGCGGCAGTCTTCACCAGGGGCCGCGCAGGCTGAGGATGGCAGCGTGGTTTCGATCGGAGCTGGGGTGGTGACCCTTTGGGTTGTCGAAGTGGGAGGAACAGAGGCCTGGCTCGTCGTAGTCGGTGCCGGTATTGGGCTGGGAGTTGGGGAGCTGGAGACAGCGCAGGAACTTCCCGTCGCGACAGGCCAGGAGCTGAAGCAGTCGCCGAAGGATACCTGATGACAGCTTCAGCAAGCAGACGACCGCTGATGGGCGCGAGGATGATTAAGATGAGGAGGATGGTGCCGTCATGATGATGTGGATGACTTCGCTGTTGATGATGGTGATCAAGATGTCGCTAAACCGGTTGATGAGATCATGTCGTCGATAGTGAAGATGATGGTCATGATGATGGCGAGACTGGTGGCGGCGACGGTGTCTGCGATGATGACTATGCGGGTGGTTTCTTTTCTACTTTGTTGGTGCCATTCCAACTTCGTGCCGCTGCATGGTCGCTGCTCCGTTTGCCCATGCGGTTGCTCCCAATCCCCTGAACTCAAGCCCTCGACCGAAACCCTACATCATCTAATCGCCACACACGCCGCAGGCACACAGTGAAAAGTCTAACTACTCAACAAAAAAAAAACAGCTCCGGCCTCCACTGCCTGCTCGAGGCCCAGACGAAACGAGGCCCGAGAGCCCTCACCGGCGAGATTAGCCTGGCGAATCGGGCCCCCACAACCACCAACCAGCACCAGCAACAGCACCCAAGCCTCCCCATCAATTCGCGAAATGCATGGCAGTGCTCGTGAACTGTGGGTGGCACGTAGGGGCTGGAGCGGGCGGGCGGGGTGTTTGTCCTTTTCGATAACAGGACAATGATGTATACTGTTTAGTGGGATTCGGGTTTAAGGCTCAGGAGGAATAAATATAACACAAATTCAGATGATGGGAGGACCCAAAAAACTTGGGATTACAATATGGACACCCAAAAAGGAAGTGTTGGTAATCGAACCCTGCTGGTAGTGTTGAGGAGCTCATGATTTCAGGACGCAGGGGCTGTGATTGTTCTGGTGATGGGAATGTGGTGGGAATGATGAGGACAAGGAACACGATGAATCTTCTGATCACCATGATTAGCCGCGACACCTTATGCGTCGTAGCGTGATGGCGACGACAACAACGACGAAGACCACGAAGAGCACTTCTGTTAGAAATGACTGCTGCGACGTTGCCAATTGTGACGTTCATGGTCGTTGGAATAATCGATCATAGTTGCCATTGCCCCGAACCACAAGGCGCAGCATTGTGTCCTGTAAGACTTCCTGCCCCATGTCCCGAAGAACCCCAGCCCCACATCAAAGTAGCGAAAGGACAACCGCCCACAACCTTAATAGGGGCTCAGACGGTGGGAAGTATCCAACGTTTCGGGACTCGCTTTATTTTCTGGATATCATGTTCGAGGGTTTTTAACCTGGAGGATCCATGGTTTTAGGCTGCGCTTTGGCTGGCTGTTAGCACATGAATCCCTACTTTTTGGGTGTTTGGATACTCAACACCCTGCTTGTTTCGGCTCGATCCCGAGCGCGCCTGCCAAGTTGCTCCCGAGACGCGCTGCATCTCCGTGACCTTCTTGTGTGGATTTGCGGAGTGCAGGCGAAGGTTCTTCGTTTAGAACGGGGCGCAGGTCTGCGGCACGGTGAAACTCTCGCTGGAAGCTGCTCTGTCAGCGATCCCCAAAATGCAGGGGGTCAGCCTAATTACTGGTATTGCTCACGCCGGATGTGACGACGAAACACGTGCCTTGCAATAGCACATGCTCGCATGCATGCATGATCACACACACATAGTATATGCATACATACATACTTACCTAGGTCGATCCATCCGTCCATTTACTCCATCCGTCGAACTCCGGATCTCGGCCCCATAACCCTGAAGCCCCGCCTTACCATCCACCAAAATCGAAGCTTTCACGACGGCATAGGGCAGGTTGCTGAAAATGGCTCTGGTATACCTGCCGGTGCGTCGGAATCCTTGACATTAAGATTTAAGCTTTCGGGCTCAGGGCTTAGGGCTTAGGGTTTTGGGACCTGGGTTGCATTGGCTGTCTGAAACTCCTAAAGCCCGAAAGCCAAAATCCAAGACCCCTAAAGCTACACTGACACCACTCAAAGGCTCACCAGGCGTTGTTGCCATCCAAGATTGTGGCCACTGGACCGGAGTCCGCTACCTGCCAAGCATTATAATTTAACACCTTCTCGAACAACAACGCATTTACTTACGAGTACTTACGAGTTTATGGGCTTGCCAATTTAAAGGTTTCGGATTCTGGGGTTTGGGAGTTACGGTGATGATGTCAACTATCCTACTGGCACTGGGGTTTAGGCCTTCAGGTTTGAGGGCAATGTCGTCTTCTTGATGCCAACCCCAACACCTAGACATCAACCTCCTTTGAGCCCAAGCCCGGTTTAAGACTTCGGAACAGAGGGGTGGCTTGCGAGGGCTGAGACGCTTCTAGGCTCTAGTTTAGGACGCAAACAGTTGATGGAATGAGCTCGGGACTGGGACCTGGCGTTCGTGAGATCTCTACGGTCTCTCGTACATGCGTGCATAGTGGGGTTGCCCCAGACTTGGGTGCTTGAAGATGGTTGTTAAGCAATGAGCTCCTTCAACATTGTCTCGGCTTCCGCAAAAAACAGGACCCCGACACGTCAACGAGGCCCAAACCTGTAAACTGAAAAGACTCTACACATGATCCTTGTCAAGCATCCAAAGCCGTACAGACTCACAAAACAAAAACGAACAAGAACGGCAGGCAATGAGGGCGAGCCAAGGAGGTTTGTCGGGCCTTAAGAGTGCGACCATAGAGAGAGGCGCTCCACAGACTATATAAAGCCTAAGCCCTCGACCAAGCTACGGCGCCTGCTCTCGTTTAGAGCTTCGTGGACTATAACTGTAGTTTTTCTTATCTAGACTGGATAACGCAATCGAATCTGCAAGCAATAACTCGTACACACTGCCCTGAGTAACAGAAACCTTCGAGACAGTGTCGCTCGAAACTAGCTCCCCCGAAGGGTACGTGATTCAAAGTAGCTGCTACTTGTACCGGCTGTACAATAAGTAGAGAATCAATAGGCCCTGGCCCAAGCCCTGAAGTGCAAACCCCGACTGCCGCAACCACAAACCCCAACCCCAACTCAGAACAGTCGCCTTAACAAAAGAGCATAAAAAAACCAAAATCAGCACGTACAAGACGACAGTCTCCAGCCTCGCACTGGACCGGCTCCAGGCTCACCTGGCTTCCCGAACGCGATGGGGTGGATGGGGGTTTAGGTCACGGGTCCGTAGGGGTTTGCCCACCTCTTGCAATTTGCGGGGGAGTTCAGGGCTAGTTCCAAGAAGGCTACAGAAGCCCAAACATGGCCTGCAGCTCTGCAGCCGAAAGCATAAACACAAAAACCCTCAAAGGTGCTTCTTCCAAGCTTCCCTTGAGGATCTTTGGGGCTCGGTGGAATCTGGGTCAAGTTTCAAGTAAATCCCAAATTCCGCTCCCTGGCTCACAGTGCTGACCCGAAATCCTGCCAAACAACTAAGCCCAAGCCCTGCACCTCGAAAGTACCGGCATCCGCACCCGAGATGGTGCGGAAGGCATCGAAGAAGCAGCCAAGGTCGGAGCCTCTTTCAGTTCGGGCACGGGTAGGTGGCAGGAACACGGCAATACGGCAGTATAGGTCTATAGTAATAGATCATATAGTACCGTAGAAGCATACTAGATCACAACGCCGCAGTAAAGTAATATCGTTTGATATCCTTACTTTGGTTCTTGATGTCGTTGCTATGCTGCTGCTGCCCTTGTTCGTGCTGCTAAGCTATTTACGGCTCAACCATTGTGATAATGTTGCATGCATTGGTTATCAGGTCTGAAATATCTGTCGACCTCTTGCTGGCCTGGTCCCTGGTGATCCTCTCTTCTTGGTCCCTCTTCCCAGTAGCAGACCGGCACTGCAGGGTAGGACGATGCTTGGAGTTCATCCGGTCTGATCCGCGGAGGTTGCAACGTACCACGCCCAGGACCGAACTGTAAGAATGGCGCAAAGCCTCACAAGACGTAACACCCCACAAACTCCCCAAGCACTACACCAGTATCTAACACATCTCAAGTTTCTGGCGTAGGGCAATGTAGCTCAGCCTTACCTACCGCCACCGACCGACCGACCGACCCTGATACCGCCAAAGCCTTTAAGCACAAGATGCATGCAACAAGCCGGGACCTCGGATCCCGAGACTTTGAGATTGAGGATTTAGGATGTAGGCTCAGGTCGTTGACCTCTACGACTCTAGGATGCAAGGACGGGGTTGTCGTGTTGCGGCTATGGCGGACCTTGAAAGGAGAATTCCTCATCGTACGAAGGTCTGGTATGACTGAGGGTCATGTAGACCCCTTACGAAAGAGTCCGATTCCCTAAAGAATGAATGCCAACCTCTACGTGGACCGGCGTGGGGATCAGGCTCAAGGGGAACATCCTCAACATAAGCCCGGGGGGTGTGACCCGACATCACTCAACGCCCTTACAGCAAGGCATCTCATGCATCTCCCGAAGCGCGTGGCACGAAGGGACAAATGCAGGGCGGAAAGGTGTTCTTGCACGTGGTCGTTTTTCAACTCATTGTTCGGAGCCTGGAGAATGCAGGATGTGGATGGGCCTTTATTAAACTCCGCAAAATCCCTCAGTGCTCCAGCTTTCGCAGAGTGCTTCCTCGTCTCCGCGATCCGCGAGAAGACAGTGTCTGCTCCCTGCCCTTCCAGCTGCTCTCGACCGATTCCTTCTGTTCTGAAATCAAGGTATACGATGAGGATCCCAATATCAAGGCCGATATCAGAATGGGGTTTGTGTTAATCAGGTGTCAACTTTAAGGTTTTATATGAGGTTTTGAAGCTGAAATCAACACGCCTGCCTCCATGCGATCCAATAATCTGGACCACCATGCTGCCCTGGCCCTCACGGTGAGCCTCCATGTGCTAAGGGCTTCTGGCTTCAGGGGTTGAGGTTCATGAAACGTACTGTCGGAGGCCTGAATTCTAAACCATACAACATTGCCACAAGGCATGCTGGCACCGTGAAACTGCGCGCTGGTCACTGGACCCTGTACAGGATGTATTGACAAGGGGCCATGAAGAGTAACAGCTATGCTAAGGCTCCGCCCAGCATTTTCTGCCTTTCGTGCCTCATGATCAGCTCAAAAACTTGCTGGTTCGCCGATGAAGCCAAGGAGTAGGAGCGAATGATAATTTTGGCCTGGCAGCCTAAATAGAGGAACTTCGAACTCCACTGGCACCTTCCAGCAGGAACCACAGGCTGCGCCATTGCCGTAGATCTCCTCGAGAGACTTTGCTGAGCTTAGCGGTGGGTTTGGCGGCCAGAGTTTTACGGGCATAAGGATCGGGAGCTAGAATTTAAGGCAGCTGCCAAGAGACAATCCAGCAGCTTTGCACTCCATAGATTTTGCTAAGGTCCCTTACTCAAGACATATAAATGCGGAAGTCTCCGGACTGATGCACCTGGTTTCAAAAGGGTTGAAGCTTCTGCTTTGTGATTCTCATGACGCCCGGGCACCGGGGGCGGCCGGAGAAAGGAGGGGCTGACGACAAAGTGCATCCGAAGGCCTCCTATCGAGCTCTTCTCGTGGATGGCTCGGAAACAAATTGATCCAGAAAAGAGCAACGATCAAGTGAAGTCCATGAGTTTCGGCAAACTCTGGAAAACTCCGAAGTTAACTACACAAGACCCTTCAGCAGATTTTGCGGGTTTGGGGTTGTAGGGGTTAGGGCTCCGTGGACAGAGGATATGTCTGCTTCGGTCCGGGTTGGCGATGCACACCGCGCGAGACTCCAGGTACTTGCTTGTCGCTGCTGGCGACCTTTGCAGGAGAGCAGACACCAAGGGTCCAAATACGCCTCAATCAACCAAAGAGTCACGAGCTTAAAGCGTACTTCTGGCACACGAGCATGCCACGGGCAAGGGCCAGATTGCGACTAGGACAGAACTTGCAGGGTGTTGGGTGATCCGAGATGCGCACTTCATGGAGAGAGGAAAACCAAAAAAATCAAAATAAATCATTTTTAAAGACCATGGAAGCACACTTTACCTTGTTTATGTTGTCCTTCTTGCTAGTTTATGTCGACGTCTGGACATCTATCTGCTTTCTGCTTTGCTCTTTAGCCTTGCTTCAGGTTCGAGCGTGCGCACGCTAACGATTCATTGCAACGAAGACAAAGCAGCGGAACAAACCACCAATCTGACAAAACAACTTGCATCTCCATCGGTTGCACTGATTAAGTATGTCTCCGCACTTCGCTCATGCTGTGTTTGCGTCAGTCAATGCGGTAGTGCAGACCCCTGATTCATAAACCCCTCTCCGTTATTCAGGCTTGTCGGTCCCAACATTAAAGCCCTTGAAAACGAGGCTTATCATGGATCCGGGGACCGCGTTGCACTATGTTTCATCAAACAAGGTAAAGACTGCAGGCCAAACTTTCATGTCGTACACATAATTAAACTAGAGCATAGCTTCAATTCCTTTACAAACGGCCGTCTTCTTGCCTGCGATAATTTTACTGGAACAAAGTAGGCTCTCTTCCAGTCTTTGTCTCTGCTTGTTTAAAGATTTAGCACACGACAAGTGAAACGAATTAGATATCATGATGCGTGTTCGAAAGAATGATTTCATCTGTTCGTTTGGTTTTTGCGCACAGCATCCTTCCAATGAGTTTGCTTCCGAAAAACTTGGCGCTTCTCGCAGGCAGGGCTTCTCATTTAACACCTTCCTTTTTTGCCATGTTAGCTTAAGCTTACGAAAGACTAACTTCATGCATGCTTCTCTGATTTTTACGGCCGGCCTTCATGTCGAGTTCCTTTCATGCATGGCCACGATGGTGTTACTGATTTGATTAGTGCTGAAATTGCGTTTGTTAAGTTGGTACATTACATGTCTGATTGCCTACACTTTGCCTTTTCGCGCCTGCTTCTGATTTATAAGACTGTGTACTGTACTGGCATTCGTTCCTACCCTAAACCCACCTTTCAAGATGCGTCCCGGCAGCTGCAGACCCCCTTGCGATGCCGCGGCATATTCGCAGGAACCACCACGGAGAGCCTCGGCTTCAAGCCAATTGCTGCGGTACTCGCCGGTGCTTAAAGGATCAAAAGATTTCGTAAATGGGTCTGATAAATTCAAAAAACTGGTTAATTACACTGCCAAAAACCTCTAGGATGAAGACGAAGACACTGATGCAGCTTCGGTGTGCTTGCATACTGGATCGAGAATTCAAGTTCGCAAACTAATGCGAAAGATACAACAGCGAATGACCTACAAGTATCACGTCCTGTGATCCTACAAACCCCTGTACCCTGCGCAGCAAGTCAAGGTTCTGTTGCCCGAGCCACCTGGTTCGTTAAGTCGACTCCTACAGGTACCAACCCCAGAAATATTCACAGGAAGCAGGCATATCTCAGTGCAAACTACGCCACCGCTATATCCTTTGTCCAAAGGCCCATGGTCGCCATGACCGCCTGCGGCACGGTTCTGAAATTTCCTACGCTTAGAGTTCCCTGTTAGGACGGACAGCTGCAAAACTTTTTGTATCCTGCTTCGGGTGAATAAAGCAGGTGCTCATCTTCCAACACTTCCAATTCGATCTAGAGGCCAGGATACCAAGTAACAAGGTGTCTTGTGGTTTGGGATTTGGGGATGAGGTTAATGGCTTTATGTGAAGGTCTTGAACCGACACGACACACCTAAGAGTCGAACACAACACCTTCAAACTGAAAGGGTTCAGAAATTTGGCAACACAGAAGAGTCTAGCCTTCACGGCAGTAAACCAACAAACAACGCACTGAACCTAAAAAAACTAAACCCTGCACAAGACGAAGCCTTGCTTCGTGTAGGATGCCTCCCAACTCCATCCCACCGAAGGGCTCTTGCAACGGGCTTGCGGAAAGTGACTTCGTGAGCAAGCTTTAGGTTGGCTCTGCGTGCAGGATAATCAACCAATTTGCGACCAAACCGCATGTTGACCTGCCTCTCAAGCCCCCTCATACTAGATGCTTTAAAGCTCGGAATGGCAGCCTCCGGAACATACCATTTCGGCCATTTCGAAACGCTTTAAAGCTATGACGCAAGCCTGTAGCTATCATAACGTACTTCTTGAGTCGTAAACCACATCATAACTGTAACCCACTTCTCAAGTACGCAAGAATTCAGCTCGTAAAAGTAGATCGCGCATCGAAGGCAACAGGAGTCTACGAACAGCGCAATAGAAACGATTGCCACGCACAAACAGCAATCACCGTCATCACCATCGCTGTATATCGCGAGAGCTCTCGGGCCTCAGCCCCGACAATCAAACACCGCCAAGTAAGGGGCCCCAGCTGCAGCCGAAGCGGCAGCGACCCCGCCCCCTTTAAACGGGCCACGATTAAAGACTCTGAAAGGCGAACGTGGGGGCCCCTGATTTGCTCCAAACTTGACAAAGCAGCACGAAAGCCCTATGCCTTATAACCCACCTCTCCCCCCACACCCCCGCCCCACCCACATCGTCCTGCGCACTCTGAGCCTTCTACTTGGGCCCTGATGTACAGACTATTCTTCGCCTCGACCGGTCCGATGCGGACGACGCGAAACTTGGACAGTTATCTACCAATTATTCACATGTCAGTACTAACTAAAACCAAGAAGCCCGAAACCCGAAAGGCCTCAGTCGACTTGCTTTTGTTCAGCTGGCTCCGCCTGCGCCCGGTACTCTAGCTTGTATGGTTGAGGACAAGAGTAGAAAGTTTTTGGTGCATCCCTGGCACCCTAACTCCCATCCCGCAATCATATGTTTTACAAACACGTACCAAACACAAAGCTCCATGCGACCATACGACCACTGTAGGGTTCATGCAGGGGTTAGGACCGAACAAATCCCGAAACTTGAAACAGCACCCTATGGCCCTATGGCAAACCCTGAAGCTCAAACCTTAAAGCCCTGCTACAAAGCACCAACACACCATCAAATCCCATGACTGCAGAGATACTTCTGGTTTTGGGGCTCGGGGTTTGGGCTTTGGGGCTGTGGGTGTGTGAAGTTTAAAGTCGTATCAGAGCTGTTCTGAGCCTACAAGGTTTAAAGCCACCATTTGAGTCATGCTAACCTGTTGCGAAGTCAACCTTCTTCTCCAGATCGTCCGTAGTCAAAAAATCAAGTAATCCTGCAACATCCAGCTGCTGGACACACTGATCCTTCGGGTCACTTTTAAGCACATCTTTCTTCCTCCCATGTAAGCACAATCAACCAAAGCTTGAACCAGGGAACTCTGAACTCCTTAAACTAAAACGTAATTTTCGACGCGGTTTTGTGGTCAGTGGCTTTCAGGACTCGAATTGCGCCTTGCTTGCAGCATCATCGGCCCCGAGGTGGAGGCTGCACAGCTCTCGGCACCCGCAGGTGGGCACAAGAGCGCAATGATCATGGGTTTTGGGGCTTGCCTATGGCCGGGTTGGGCTACGATTCAGACAATCCCTTTTACTCCTGATGCCCATTTTCAAGAAAGGCTTGGGAAGATGGTGTAACTGTCTAACGGACATCAGGCGGAGCACAGAGCAAAGAAGGAGCGGCTTGCCATGGCCATGGCTGCTGGCGAGAGTTTTTGCACGTGCGAAGCAGCGGGTTGCCGCAGCTTGGAATTCGACCAAATGGCTGCGTAGGTAGTTGTGGACCGGGGTCCGAGGTTTCGAGTCTTGGATCGCCTTGAAAGGCAGCCTCCTAACCGAGACTCCACGGACTGCTACAGCCCCTCAACATACTTCTACGTCTCATTGCATGAGAAGCGAACTATCAACTCGTCAAGGCTTCATGTAATCCTTCAGGGTCCAAGACGCGGGGAGGCTCTTTTGTGTCTGAGTGATTCTGAATGTCTTCGCCGAAGGATTCTAGCAGGAGGCTGATCCAACAACTTTTGTTGAGGCCAGAGTAAGTAGACGGAGAACAATAGTTCATCTGATGCTACATACAGGCTCGAGACCGACAGCAAACAAGTACCAGGAGGGAAAGATTCATGCATTTTACAGGAACAGGGATGCCACAACTTGCTATTTACAGCAAATGACGCACGAATCTGGAAATCCCTGATCCCGAAACTATGACCACCAAAATCTCTAACCTTAACTTAACAACCCCAAACCCTGCACCCCAAAATCTCAGAACCTGAACCACAAGCGAGATGCAAGATGCTTTTGAAACTTTCAATCTGTCGCGCAGCTGGCAGTTTTTTTGGCTGCTTTAAAGCAGCCTGGCAGGCACACTTGTCATTAAGACTTCAGGGTTTACGGTTTGGGAGGGGGGGGGTTGGGGTTTATGGGGTCGTGGGGTTTATCGTCTTTTGGGTTCGGGCGACCTCATCTTGGTTTCCGGGTGAGCGACAGCAGCGGTCACGAAAGTCGCAGGCATAGCTGCTGTGACCAGCACCACGTGCAAGATCTAGAAGAGGCCATGCTTCTTCTTAGCGTTCTCCTGCAGAAGCGATGACAAAACATGAATTTATTATGAAGCCCGCACAACAGTCAAGTCGCACCCCAAACCCCGAACCATAGCAAGCTTTTAACTGCATACGAATGCCGACCTGCTAAACCTGCACCGGACTGGATCTCAATCCATAAATAAACCCTCGTTTAAACTTTAGGCCCTGCGAGGACAATCTCTGAGCGAAACGCCCATGTCGTATGATCTGTGAATTTTCACACAAACTCGCCCAAGACAGAACGTCCCCGAAGTGACCTTGGATACGCACGTCCGGGTTTCGAGTTTGGTCAAAGGGTCCGCATATATATATATATAATGCCGCTACGAAGTCCCCAAAACCGTCCCAAGACTGCAAACCTACACCCCCAAGGAATCAAATGCCTCGTTCCTGAAACTTAACCTTTAGTTTTGCCTTGCTCTGGCAGTAGCACGGCCAATAACAATAAAACTAAACTCAAACCCAGAAACCTTACACCCTTAAACACATTATGCAACTGAAGACCTCCAAACCCCTGCGCCCGATCAAGAATCGGAGTTCCTTCTTCCACTTGGGAAGCTTCGCGAAGTCCGCCTGCGTCATTTCTTGGGGGATTTAGCAGGGAGGGTTTAGGACGTAGGGTTCAGGATTTAGCGAATTTGGGGGTTTTTAGTTAGGGCCTATGGCTTTCAGGTCGATCGGGGTTGGCGTTTCGGGAATATTGGAGCCTGCCCCTTCGTCTTAGCTCGTCGTCCTTCGGATCTTTCAGCGCTTAACGTGTTGCGTTTAGGATTCAGTAGTCGTTGCAGATTGCCATTACAAAGTACCCTTTGAAATGGGAGGGACTATGGGGTCCATGTTAATTTCAATGAGGGTGAGTCTTGAATACCGAAAGACCGGTATTCCAACAAGCTGAGCCTTTAACCCCAACCGATGACGAAACGCCCTAAGTTGCAAGCTTGCACCCCGCATATAAGCCCACAAAGACCTACAAGAACCTTCCACTGTCTTAAAACCGAAACCCCGATGTGGAGGCTTTTGTGGAAGCACACAAACAGGTGCTAAACCCTAAACTCTGCGCCGTTGACGCCTACGAACCCTGCGAACTTTCCAAACCCCAAGTGGTGGAGTGGGCTGTTCTTGGAGGCCTGCCGCAGGCTTAATCTTTGAACGAAAAACCCTCACTACGGAGCACAAAACAACAACTGTCAGAGTAGTTTCGAAAACGGTTTTGATGTTTCCCAACTATACCATAACCAATAATCCCTCCTCTATATCGTGTGAAAGGGCTCGCAACCCCACACCAGTCAGCTGCTTGGCCTTTGGCATGCCGAAGAGCTTTTGGAAAATTGGCTCTGGCAGGTATGTCTCACCTGCAAATTTCTACAAACCCCCGCCTGAAAAGTCAAATAAGCAGGTCTCGTGGTCGGTTGAGGTGGTAGGATTTGGGCGTTCCTTCAGAGCGTGCACTGTTTTGGGGTGGGCTTATATTCAGAATCATCATACTTCCGGTCAATGTTATAGGGTCCCATACTTTCTCAAACTCCCGTTTTCAATTCAGGGCAAGTTGAGGGCAGCCACCAGCAGAGCATAGAACATAGGTGGCTTCGCGCAGCAAATGTCACTTCAAGCACCACAGTTTTGGGCATTGCGTGCACGGAGAAACCTGGAATGGCCGCAAACATCTGTGAACAACATGTCAAGCGATTAGTAGAGTAGAGTCGAGTAGCGAAAACATGTGACACGAGGAAGATGCATGCCGAGTCAGACCTGTTAATGATGGAAGAGCTTCGTTAAGTGACTACTTTGAGGCTGAGGGGACCGAGTAGTTGCCGTAACCGCAGCGAAAACCTACTTACTAAGTTCGTGGTCCTTTCAGTAAACATGGTTCCATCTATAAAGTCCTGGGGGCAGCATCTAGGGCCCAGGGCCGGGGGCCCAGCACTAGCCACGACAGAAGCAGTTGCAAGCATAAAGCAAGAAACGAACACTAGTTCCATAACCTTAAACCTCAGAACCATGAAGCGCTAAACTCCTAAGGGCCTACGCTAAGCCCTTAGCCGTAAACCCGGCTAAACCCCTTAAACCCGTGGTGCTGGGTACCGGGCGTTCTGTGGACACGACATCCAATTTCTCCCAAACGCGCTTGTCCGTCAGCTGCCTTAGAAAGACACAAACCGGGTTTCCACCCCCATAAGGACACTGCCATGAACCTTCTCCAACACACTTTATTCACACCTTGATTACCCTTGAAGATACAAGACCTCAAACTTGGGGAGGCTTTGCCTGACCACGGCAAGTTGTTAAACGAAAGCTCGTGATGCTGGACTGGGGGCGTTGCTAAACAGACAAGCAGTGTGACTGCTGATGCTAAGTGGAGCGTCTTGCGGGCAACCCATGGAACGATTGACGATCGCTTGTTCCAGAGGAAGGTCTTGGAGAAGTAGCGACGAAGCTGATGCTCATGATGCTGGAGACGGTGCAGCTGAGGGTGGGCTGGATTGGCTTTCGGACAACCAGCAGCGCGTTTTTGTATTAGCAGCCCCTCAGTTCAGGATCGCGATGTGCGAGGCAAAGCTGAGCGCATGATAACACCGCAGGCATGCAGCAACATGTCAAGCTTGCCCAAAGTGGGAGCTTGAAGATTTGATGTAAAGGACCTCAGCACAGACCCAAAATAGCAGGATCGGTGATTTATACACGAGCTTTGAAGAAGTGAACCTACTTGCGCGAAATCCTTGTGTGCTCACGACAACCAGCAGACGGACCGAGGCTCAGATCGTCCAACCCAACTTCAAGTGCATGAACCCTCCACTCGAAAATCCAAAACTGGACCCCGAAACCCTAAATCCCAGACCCAATCACGACAGCAGCATGCCTGAACAGAAAGGGCTTCAGGGCCCGATAGCTATCTGATCCTTTGACCCTGCATTCTCAGACAGATTGCTCGAGGGAAAAGCAGCCTTCTGGAATCTCCTTGGAGATTAGACATCAAATGTCTCCAAAGGTAGGTGGGATGAACGGAAGTTGGGGGATCCCGGATAAGGCCCTTGATAACGGATGCTTGATCCCGCCTGCGTTTTTCCAACCTCAGGTCCAACCTCTACGAGCTCTGATCGACACGAGACGCACTGTTGCATGAGGACGGTGCTGGGAGGAAGTGGGGGTGGCGCTGAGATAAAGCAAGCAAGTACTCCAACTATCCTCTGTCGGCATTTGCGCGACTGAGGACTATGGCATATTTTGAGGACCATATGATGCATAAGACCAGTCATGCGGTGATCCCAACTGCATTGACTGGAATCCCAAACCAGGCTATGTATGGTTACGGGTGATGCGAAACCCCAAATCGTCCTGTGTATCGGCATCGGCCACTGGCGTTGGTGCATCCGAGCCCGCGTAGCCTGGGGCCCATCGTGCACAACTGCCAGTCTCGAGCTCGTACTACATGCTTTTCATGAGTTTGGGAAGGGGTTGTGAGGGGTGTAGCATGAGTGGAGCTTGATTTGCGCAGGACCATTAATGAATACAAGCTTCTAACTCTTAGGGATCGATTTCTCGCTTTTTTGGTGTTCGTATGATCGGGATCCCGCCGTTTATTTCCCAAAGAAAACGAATGTTGTGGGACGTCGGATGTCGCGTTTACACCCCCACCCTCAACGTTTTCCGATTTAAGCGTGGGTTCGGATCTGGGTTCGGGTTCAGACCTCAGTGATCCTCCGATCCAACGTGCGAACCTATGTCCAGGATGCTGGCCTGCGCTGGCCACAGGGCTTGCGCCAGCTGCCGGGCTTGGAGAAGTCACGCTGGTCTGGCAGGCTGTCAGGTTCAAGACAGCAGCTTCGACTATTGGAATGGGAGGTGGGCTTAAAACTTTTTTCGGATTTCAATACAATGATGTGGGGCCATCTTTTCGAACGCGCAGTTTCGAGATCATATGGTAGAGATGGGGGAACCGAGCAGTGTGACCCTGCCACGCACCTTCGAAGGCCAAAATGAGAACCAGACGGTGGCATTTTTCGAGAGCACATGTTCAATCGAGGTGCGATTAACGCCGCAGAAGCAGCCGGGTCCGCATGGTAACGAAACTCTAAACCCTGGGATGTAAGGTTTCTTCTTGCCCGGCGTGATTCCTGAGCAGTCTGCTGAAACCTTATCCCCAACAACTTGAGCCGGGCTGCAGCTTTTCCGAGGTGTGAAACCTCAACTCAAGTGGTGCTTACGGCCTGCGAAATGCGAGTATTGTTGCTATCATCACTGCTCCATCATGACCGACATAAGTGCGCTTCAACTCTAGTTTCTCTCGTCACCGATATGCTCATTTATTGTTTTTAAGATAGCCGTGACTGTCGTCGTCATCGCTACTACTTCGAGAAAACTTAACCGTAGCGATACGAAAATAACTTCGTCCCGTTACTGATCTGCTCAATACAGCATGTGCAACATAAGAAGAAATCATGTACTAGATAGAGAAAAGAACTCAACACCGCCACCATCAAGCCGAAACCCAGGTTTGGAATTCCGGGTGAGCTCCGAGCTGAGATTTTATTTGTGTTCTCAGGGAAGCCTGAACAAGAGGGCTTTTGCCCTGAAGCTTTCGTATCCTAGCCGTCCTAGCCGCGCCTTCTCCGACTTCTCGGGCTCCTTCCGCGCGGAGGAGCTGGAGGCCGGCGAGGCGTCCGGTGGCGAAGGCGAGGCCGCTTTGGGGGATGCGACCTCTTCGGGCTTCGAATGTAGGGTCTTAGTTTTTCAGGGTTTAGGGATTTAGGGATTGAAACTTCGGGGTTAGGGTTTGTGAGTTTGGGGTTTCGGATTCAAGGGCTTTGGCTTTGGATTGGGATTGCTACCGTTGTACTGGCGAATAATGCGAGTGCGACATGACATTGTTACCACTTCTTTCGGATAGCCCATGGGGAATGCTGCTTTTTCATACCACAATGTCGGTGCACAGCGTTGTTGGAGGCTTTCGATGGGGCAAAAGACTGCTTGTGGCTCTGAGGAGTAGGGCCTGCCCCCGGATGTCGTCCTTTTCCGCCACGGGGCTTTCAGTCATTTCTCTGGATACTGTTGGAAGGCGACCCGAAACCCGGCATCCAACAACACTCCAGCAAACCAACCGTGCAAAGGTGTCCTTTGGGGTGGGGGTTTCAACTAAACCTCCTAAGCTTCACAACCCTAAATCCGAAATCAAACATCGCCAAAGCATCTCAGTGTTCTCATGATTGCCGAAATTCTCTGCAACTAGCCGTAGCCAAGGTCGAGCTAGGACACTTTGACTCTTAGACGAACGACACCAAGATCTCCATCGCCAAGAGAAGTAGGACAGAAAAGACCCCTGCCTTGAAACCCTGCCTGCACCCCTAGAGCCTTCTCTCTAAAGCAGGAATTCGGCGAAATCGTGCCGGCTGAATGAACACCTCCATCTCTCTTCAGACCCCAGAACCACAACCAAGCCTTCAACATTGCAAGCCAAAAGCACCAAGACCCAGACCCCCCAAACGGTGGAGCCCCATATCTGGCCTCTTTTAAGGCGCCGCTCGCCTTTCCACGTTGGAGCAAGTTCAGGAACTCCTGTCGCGCGAAGAACCCTCGTATCGACTTTGGTTAGGGCTTAAGAATTAAACGGTCTAGAGGCATTCACGGCTGATGCGGAAACTCCAGCATCATCCATCACATCGACAATGCCATGATTCCCGCAAGTTAGGGTATCCTTCGCAAGGAACTTGAGGCTTTGCGATTGGCTCTGCTTTGGGGTATGCTCTGCTACCAAAAGACAGTACCTCTGCAAACGGTCTTCGGTTGAAAAAACAAATGCTGCGCCAACTGTGATACTAAGGTTTGGTGAGAAAATTGGGGGGTCTTTTGGGGGAACCTTAGTAGTAAGGTCAGCTCTCTTACTTGCTTGCGCACGCTACCTGAACCTCATCCAACCTGAACCAACAGATCTTTCCTAGAAGGCCGCCTCGGGAGTGGACCCTCGAATAAATTCAATATGGGGACACGCAAGAGAATGTCTTAATCCTGTACGAGTGCCTCTAGTTGAAACAACACCTCCAAACACCGTTTGACAAGCTTGAACCAACTCCGGTACAAACCCTATCGAGGAGGCTCATACTCAACTGAGCTACAACGACTGAACACCAAATAGCTATGAAAAGCCTCCGCTTGAACCACCAATAAGCCCCAAACCCTTGCCAAGTCCTGCAACCTGCAAAGCTCTGAACCCCCCATACAGCCCCGAGGGCACTCCTCGCGTTCCACGCAACCCGTGGGGTCTAGGCCGAAAGCCACCGCGCGGGCCTTTAGGTCCTGAAGGAGGCGTGACTGAGATGCGAGGCCCATGCAGAAGCCTTCTACAAGCCTTGCATGAGATCGATGTCCTTCAAGGACAGCGCGGCCATCTCCTCCATCCACGGATCCGGAGGGGGAGCCGTCCAGGAACAAGCCGCTCCCTCCCAAGGAAGACGAACAGTTTTTCTTTCGTGAGGGGGAAGGAGGAGAGAATATACCACGTTTTTGGGCCCCTATTTCAATCAGGCTCCTACAGTGTAACTTCTACATCAGGGCTCCACGCACCCCTGTGTCGATGACGGTCGAGGTTTACAAATTTGGCTCGCGGCTTGGGGTGTTCAATGAGCTCGGACTTTAGGATTCTGGAGTTCAGTGCTTCTGATGGGTTGGGTGTAGGGCTTCCGGCCTGGGCTCGTTTCAGTGTCAGGGGACGGCTTCTGGTTTAGGGAACTTCGACATTGCAGGGCTACCGCATGCGAGTGGAGGTCCCAGAGGTTCAGACAACTCCCACAACCATAAACACTCAAAGCTGCAAAACCCTAAAACCCACCAACCTTTTGGGTTTGAGGTGTAAGTCGTGCAAAGTTAATATGACCGCATAGAGCTGCGCTTCAGTGCAAGCAATATAGAGTGCTCTGGAGGACAATGGCTCCTGAAGAACACTAGGCATCTCAGCCGTCCGCGTCTCAAGGCACAGTGCACCCAGTCCAGATTCGCTGGCCTGGGTGCACTGTGCCACAAGCCTTCTTGGAATCAAGGACGCCCTTGAGCTTCGTTCTCAGCCTGTCTGCTGAGCCAACCAGAACTGCAAGTGTAGGGAAGGCAGATCTTCTGACAGTCGTTTCGCCAGGGACGGGCAAGGAAATCGTGAGAAGGGCTTCAGGTTCGCATCCGCCTTCGGCGCGGGGCACCAGCTGGAAGCCCGACGAAGTGAACAAGCTGTCCTCAGCGAAAACTTTGGGTCATGGCGTCGAGGTGCTGCTAGTTCAGGAGGTCGATGCCGATGACGCCGGTGAGACGACCAGGCTGCAGCTCCCAGTCGCGACCGGCTCCCAGCACGCGAGAAAGCTCTTCGACCAAGGTCATGCGCTTCCTACTTGTCCTGCACTGAGGATGTGTGGCAAGAGGATTTTCCACACGCAGAAAACTGCGAAGACAACCGTTTGGGGGCACCACAACCCGGAAGGAGGCTGTATGTGTTGTGGTCACCGAAATTATTGTGGGTGTCAGCAACAATGTCAATGACATCTACAGCATCGGGAGGTTTAGCAAGTAGGTGATACATAATAAAGTAGAGTGTGAAACCATTAGCCTGACCCCCCATCTAACCCTCTATAGATCCAGTACGTGCGCTGCCCATATCCTGGACCCCAGCCGCTAACAGGGTTTCGCCCTCAGGCAAGACCTAGATAAAGCCCGCACCTGCATGACCCGTACAAACCCTACAACGCGTAAACCCGAAACCCTGGGGTGCCTTGAAGGTGAGAGTTGTCTGATCGTCAGAAACCGACAGCTCCTGATCTCTTCTGCTTTCGGGCACGCGGCTTGAATAATTTAAAGCTTTGGGACTAACTCAAAGTCTTTGCGGCTGTGGGTTTCAGCGCTTGCAGATCTTGAAAACATCACGTAGAGGTGTTTGGCTTCGGGCTCGTGTATGACAGGCTTCGGGTCTGGGGTCATTCACTCGGGCTGACTAAGCCTACATCCCAAACCGTACAACGACCCTAAATGAAGTAAAACCCCTACATCGTGATATCGGAACTCCGAACTGTGATCGCGAATGGCTGCAAATCAGCACCCGGATCTTCCAAACTGTACAAGCGTGTCGGGCTATCCCAAAGTGTTGGAGTATACTAGCAACCTGGAATTAAGTCCCAGCACCAGGGGGCTCGGGTGAGTACGCTGGTAAATATATGGACCCTCTTGGCTACACTTTACTCACAACCATTCCGTGCTATTTTATAGGGTTCGGGCCTACAGGCAAGCAGCCTTGAATCCCACCTACATGCAAAAACGGAGGGTTTTGCCTTTACGGGTCTTCTCAGTGTTTGGGTTTCGTAGGTTTGGGATTTAGGGGTCTGATGGGATGGGCTCAAGCTATAGGGCTAATAGGGTTTACCCTGAACCCCATAAGCCGCATGCTGAGCTTGGTACGTAGGGTTCAAGGATATGTGTTGTCATACTTGAGAGTTTAAAACTTGGGAGTTCGAAATTGAGAGTTGCACCGTTTGGTAGCATTCGAAGCGAACACGTAGCTCAAAACCTTCTTCGCCGCCAACAAGATACCGACACATCGTTATACCGGTTTTTTGACACGTCAGCATGACCTTTGGATTCGTGGAGCGGTCTTTCGACAACCTCAACCTTGTAGTGACAGATCTTCGAGTGAGCCGTCTAGCGGAAAAAACCCACGCAGGCTCAACCCCTCAGTTTAACCCCAGTCAAGAGCAACCTGTTTGGCACCAACGGACCGAAAACACCAAAGAGCCTTGAGATTCCGGAGACCGGCTTCAACAACAATCCCAAGCGGAGTGAAGCTCAAGACCCAAGCCCAACCACACTCGTCTCACTAGTGAAAAGTAATTAAAACCTCAACCCAAGCACAAGCGCAAACCGCGGATCACTAAATCCTCAAGCCCCTGGGTTCATATTAGCATTCTATACCAGCCTGAATTCTCAATTTCAGCTCCAGAACTCCCCAATGCGAAACTCTCCCTTCAGCTCTTAAGCGTAGTGTTTGGATCTAAACACTTTGGGCTTGGGGTTTCGGGTCCCCCCGGTCCCCCCAACTGCCCCAACAGCCAAGACGGGACTCCAGATCGCGATCTCGACGGGGTCCGCCCAAAGGATCCTGCTGCGCTGGTCGGGCCGGAGACCCGATTCTGACCCCACATAGCCAATGGAAACTTAAAGTTCAGGGTGTCGGGCTGTTAAGAAGTGTTTCTAGGGCTTGAGGTATTGAAGCTTGTTAGGTGTTTAGGGCATTGAGTTTCGGGGTCAAGGTTTTTGAGGCTTGGAGTAATCCTGCTTTCTGCATGTGCATGTGGGAGCGAGGCTTCAGAGGCTGATTTAAGGAACCTGGTATATACATGCATATGTATATGACCCAGAACAACAGGATCTGTTAGTAAGCACTCTTCCAAAGCAAGGGATGCGTAATGTTGAGGAAAAAATGAATCTCCGGGATCATAGAGGGATCATCCCAACCCCTCGGACCCCCTTTGAAGACTGAAGACAAACCCTTTCAAGTCGGGTATGCTTTCGTTCATGGAGTGTAAGGATTCGGACAACTGCAGGTCTCGCCTCAATGTAAGGCGGTCCCTCACCTTCTGAAGCTTCAAAAAACATCCCAAACGGGTCGAAGGTGGTTTACTCTGCTGCGAAGTGGATAGGTACTATGAAAGTTACACAGTACCAATGCTCCAGACTGCTGTCTTGCCCTCTGTCGCAGGTTTATTCACGCTAGTCTATGGGATACGCCGTATTGATGTAGGTTTTAGTGCAATTGTCGCGGTAAGATTTCGGGCTTAAGGCGTAGGGCAGCACAAGAGCGTACCTACCTTGGACTGCACTCAGCTGAACAACGCGATCTTCAGAATGTGACTAGCCAACAAGGCCTCAGAGTAAAGGCTTACGAGGCCTCCTTTGTGACCGTCACGACGACCTCGTCATCGTCCTGCCAGTTCATGTTGCCCTACTATGCTGCGTGATGCCCTAAAGCAGGGGTTACACAATTCGAGCAGGATTTGGGCTTCCATACAACAAAGCCCTCCGACCCGGTATCCCACATGCAACTGCACTCAATCAGGAATTGTAACAAGTCTAAGTAAGTAGAATCGTTGAAGCTCCTGGATTGCCAAGCGCTTATGACATCAGGCGCTGTGGCTTCCCGCATCCCAATCCTGAATCACAACCCTTGTAACTAATCCCCCACCCCCAAAACTGTGTCATAGGCTGGTTTCGGCAGGTTCGGCTTTGGCTTTGGGTCTAGGGTTTAGGTGTTTGGTTTTTCATTGAGCTAAGGGTTTAAACTGAGCTGTTTGCAGTTTAGGTTAGAGGCCTTGGGCATCCGACCCTGTCTGTGTATGAGGGTGGCCCAGGCCCGCCTGGCTCGGCGTCTTTTAAGCGTGAGGAAGGGTCCCTTCCAACTTCGATTCTGAAGGGACAAGTTCTTGGGCTTTAAAGTCAAAACCAATTAATAAGGTCTAGTGTCTATAGCGTGCAAAGGGAAAGGTCAGGTCTAGATAGGATCACCACGTTTCCGGCTGAGCTCTATTGGGAGTTCCGATATATGGGCTCCAAGAGCGGGTTCAGGCATGTGCTCAAGGTTTAGTGGGTGGGATGCATGGTAGTCGGGTAAGCCGTGTCCTCCACCCACTCCCAGGTGCCTTCCACATGCCAAGCCTCATGGGGGATCGGCTCCAAAAGGCAGCAGTTCATGTGCTTTTGTCCTGCTAAACCTATGCAAGGTTTACCATGTACACCTGTGCAAAACGCCCTTTACAAAAGCTAGATTCACATTGTCTCTTCATTTCTCTTCTTTGGCTGTTGCTACCTGTGGTGGGATGATCAGACCAGCATCAGCTTCTTCCACAGCTGAAGCCCCAAAACCAAACTTGGGGCCTTCACTCGAAACTCCTTAAACTCTGCCAGCTGTACATCGCAAACCCTATATTTACCCTGGCACTTGCACATGTGGCGCTTGGCCTGGGTTCCTCCCTTGGAGGGCGAAAGCTCGGACCTGAACGTGTTCATACTTGTTCAATCCTAACCGGAAGCCTAAACCTTAAGAGTTACAGGTTCAGGACATAACTATACTATATGATTGGGCTTCGATGTTTTGGCTTTGTATGTCCGGTGGTTTACGGGATGTGGCTCATGGTTCCGAATGTCCAGGGTGCAGGATACGGTTTGGCAGAGAGGTCAAGAGTTTCAAGCTTCGCTTTCGTGATGCATCCTGCAAGGCTTCCCAACTCAGGTTTGCGGGTTTAGCAAAGGTGTTTCGTCTGCCAGGTGCTCTCCGTTTAAAAGGACTCTTTTCGATGTGTTGATGTTTGTTATACTGCAGCCGTTCTTCTGAATCAGATAACGTCAAAAAGATTCTCGAAGTGTCTGCTTGAAGAGAACAAGATGTAATGACGAAAAAACCCCAAGCTCCTTTTTTAGAACTTACCGACGGCAAGCCGGAAAGTTTGCCATCAATCTGGAGGCTATCCCCGAACCGACCTAAAACCTTAACATCTACTGTAGGCCCTAGGCCTAAACGGCAGGGCTATCCCTTCAATTCAACGGTCCATACCTGGGACTGCGCGCGGTGCGAGTGGTGAGCAAGTAAGAGCTCTCGTACTTACTAGCTCCCCTCAGCCTGCTGTGGTGTTTCAGAACATTCGCGGTCCCTATGTGGCAGTCCTGATCAGAAGGATCTTACCACAAGGCCCCTACCAATCAATCAGACACAGGATCCACCCTACGACATCCCAGTCCAGCCTGCACTCGATGCTGCAGGCGCCGTCCACCATCAGAACGATCTCCCACGTCACCTAGGCACAAGTAGGGTTCTGTCTAGGCTCGGCTTTGGGGCTTAGGGTCTGGGGGGTTCGGTTTAGGGCTGCGGTTTGGGTGTTCATCTGACGTGTCTTGCGTTGCCGGAAGTTTCTCAAGAAAACGCAGGGTTCTATGTAGGGTCCAAAACGGATCTATACGGGTTCTATTCGGGGGCCTGATGGTTTTAGGATTGTGGTTCTTTGAAACACCAGACGACAAGCGGAGGTTTACGTGCAGGGTGTGAGCGCAAGCTGAAACAAATCTGAACCCTACACTCCTAACGCCCTGAACATCATAGTTGAAGGAATGACCCTCACGTTCACCTCTTGGAGCTCAATTAGCGCTTGCAGCTTTGCTGGCAATTCAAAAGCTCGGCATCAAAATTTGAGGGATCTGCTGTAGGGGTGCGCGGATCCCTCTCAATTAGGTGTCCAAGCGTCCGGGTGGAAACCCCCGTGCATCTTAGGGTGCGGATCTAGGCGTGTGGGTTTAGGATTCGGTAAGAAAGAGACTTGCAATCTTCTTTCCTGCAGACCCTGAATCTGTTATTTACCCTGCTATATGCCTCAGTACTAGCAATCATGGGATATGAGCAGCCGGCCATGCGCATACTGACAATCACATTGTGCTGTCTGGCGGTGATGAACGTGACTATGTTGAGGATGAGGACGAGTATACGTGTCATTGCAATCAGTCATGTTTGTGCTCTCAGCCATCACCAAAGACTTATGGTGACCACTCTTCCTTGGCCACCTTGAACCCTCAAGCCAATTCCCTGGTCCACGAACCCCCTCAACCCACCGTAAGTCAAAGCCCTCAACTCCAAGCCGTGGAAACCCCCAAACCCCAACCCCAACGAGAAACCGAGATACATGGTCTCCGGGGCAAGAGTGATCCGCCTTCCTGGGCTTGGACTTTTGATATTGTGGGTTGGGAAGTTAAGGGTTAGGCAGACACGCTTAGGGTTTAGAACATCTGGCTTATCGGTGGAACGGCTTACGGCTCAAGGATTTAAAATTAAAAGGCTTCGGGCTTGAATTTAAGTGCCCGCAGGATTTGGGCTTGGGGGGGCTCGAGAAACAGGTTGAGGCGTGCATCTGGGTTTGCTTCGTGCCCACAGACCTTCAACCCTGAAGTGCAAAACCAAAACGTTAAGCTCTAACGCTTAGCCCCCCACCTCCAGCACGAAACCTCTGTCAAACCTCTGTCGCATCCCTACAGACCCCGGCCATCTAAAGGCCTTGGGCATGGTTTTAGATGTAGGGTTCAGGTCAATCTGCGAAGCTCCAGCAAGCTAGGAATTGTTCCGGTAGTGGTCCTTACCTGCTGTTATAGGGCTACATACCCGGAATACCAGTTGAACAAGTTGGCATCTTCGTACCGTCTTGTAACTCCAACTCTACCCAAGTCAGGGTAAGCCCTCGCCTCTAGTATCGTGACTAGAACAAAGGGCCTGGACATCAAGGCGTACTCGGCCAGTTCATGCCACGATGCAACTCGCAGGTTCCAGTGACCAGACAACAAAATTCGTTGGCTTCGGCGGCGTTCATGTCGTTACATGTATTTGTGCCATGTGTGTCATCTGGTTTTGCCATCTGAATGCTGCGCGCACCGTCCAACCCTCGCAAGCCGTACACAAAGCGTGACGCAGGCTTGACATGCACTGACAACTTTCAGGGTCTGAAGGACGTAAGCCCAAAGCCTGAGTCCGAAGCCCCAAGCCCTACGACACAATCCCAGACCTCCCGTCACCCGAAAATCTCCGAATCTTCAACCTTGAAACGCTAAACCCTACGTCGACCCCCCAACTACCCTCTGCTATATGCCCTGCGAGGATACTCGGTAAACCTTATCAAATGGGAGTGTCTGAGAATGGGCGACCCCACATGTAAATCCTACATAAGAGCATGCTTTCCTGTAAAGACCACAAATATACAGTACCCCTAGCTCTGAGAAACCTCCAAATTGAGTCTGCCGTCCTCCCCACATAGATCCCTGGCCGGGGGCGATTCTCCTGGCGGTCATGTTCCAGGGGGTGGTCCAGGATCCACCGTTGCTCAGAGGTTATAGTTTGGGATCACCTTTTCGGCTAGGGTTGCTTTTTCTGAAGCAGCAACTATTTTCCGATCTGTCAGAGGGGTTAAGGTTTACAGGGCTTGACAGCTGCTTTAGTGTACACTGTAAGGGGATTTAAGATCTCGGGTCTAGCCCATACTGATCAAGGTCTGTGGGCTGGCTTGATATTCCATTTTCACCAAAGAGCACGAAGCCATTAATGCACCGATTGCTGATGACAAAATTCCACATCATCAGTAGTAAAGGAGTTGAAATGCTCTCCGTGGCAAGTGTGAGGCTTTTTGCAAGTGTTTTGGCTTTAGGGACTAGAGCCCAAGCGTTTGGGGTAAAATCATGAACAATCCAAGGCACGGCTGCGTCGTTCCCGAGAACAGGAAATCCGAAGCACTCCAAGGTCCAAGGCTCAGGAGTGCGGTTTGGGCTCTTCAGTTTAGTCGTAGGCAAAGATGACATGAAGTCCTGGTCAACACCGCCTGCCATGCCCGGGCAAGACGATGGCAACTGGCTAAACCGGCAGTGGCGCTAGCTGCAGTTGCACAGACTTCGCCTACTCTGAGGGCATATCTACGCCTGCAGCTGAACCCTGGAGGGCCCTCCATCCACCAAGAGCCAAGAACCCAAATCTCAACAGCTTATCCTTATACTCGTGAGCCGCTGCAGTTGGCTCTGCATCTCTCGCGAGTTCATAGTCATGCCAGATTTTGCCTCTCCAACTCGCATGCGTGGATCTCAGGTGCTGTGGAGCTTGAGGCTTTCTTTAAAACGCTGCGGCAGGCTCATCCTCTCACGCACTGCCATGCAGAGCTTCAGCTTCAAGGTTGCGGTGCAACTCTTAACGCAACAACCCGAACCCCTAATTCGGCAGCAAGGCTTGATGTACGTGTTCATGCGCCGATCCAGGGCCGGAGCAGTTAGGGTGTCAAGGTTGAGCACGACCCCAGCTGCAAAGCACACAACAGCAACCAGTCTCTTAAGGTTTCCTCAACCTGTACCAAGGGCACTATGGCCACTATGGGAGTCTACTCCCCTCGAAACTCTTCGTCCCGGCCTCGACACTCAACTTCAACCGTGGCACCTAATGCCTACACGGGCCTGGCTCTGACTCTAACGCCTAAATACGCCTAACCTGCATACCTAAACTCCCACAGGGTCTGGGTGTACATTCAAAGGTTTTGGGCTTTGAGTGGGCCCAGAGTCTCGCAGATAAGTTCCCGAATGAACATCATGTTCATAACGGCATAGCGAAGAAAGTGTCTTCGCTCTCTCTGGATTGTGACCTTCATAACCAACATGAGCCCGAAACACCCCTAAAAGGTAAATTCTAAAGCGTTGCTTTGCAAGCCTCTTTTCGACGCTCAGGCACTTTGGTGCCTCTAGGAGCCTAGGGTACCTTACTGAGATGTATGGCAAGACACCTTCTTGCCGCAGAGCTTATGCAAGCCTGGAGAAAATGTGTGCACAACCCTGCCCCCTACCGAGTTTGGCCGCTGCCGCTGTTGACCTACAAGCCCCTAGTCTGAGCCCTTAATGGAGCTTCTTCTGGACCCTTGGTCAGGTCGGTTCTTCTCGTACCAGTTCTGAGCAGCGGGCTGTTGCGCAGATACTTCGTGATTTGCACAACGAAGTCAGCCGCATGGCTGGCCAGTCGCGAAGGGTTGAGCAGGTTGGTTTAGGGATCAGGCATTCGCGTTTCAGGGTTTACCTAGGCCACTGGGAAGCAAGGGACAAGGGTGCCGGCTTTCGTCCTTCTGCGATTTCGGCTTCAGGGTGGAGGGTCCAAGTGGGCTTCTGGATGTTTCATCAATAAAGCTGCGGGCGAAGCTAACCCAAAGCCTCAGTAATCGCAATGAGCACGGGAAGCCAAAAATGCCAACCCGAAGCCCATAATCATGCCATAGTCCCCACAAAACCGTGGCAAAACACCCTGCAAGAGCTCCGGGAGCGCATCTTGAAACATCGAGCTAACTGCAACAAGAAATCACATGCACGATAGATCTACTGAAGTACTGAGGCTGCGAAGCCAAGTGAAGCGAGACAAACTTGTTGATGGTCGTCACATGCACACCCGAAGTATTGCTGGCAAGAAGAAGATTGGTACCAATCTTCACGTTATTGCTTCCGTGATGTAGTTCCTGAAGCCCAAGCCCTATGCTTCAACACATGCAAACACGAGTTGCAGCAACAGCAGCAGTGGCAATCACGAAAGTACACACCCAGGCTCTGCCCGTAGTTGCCTCAATGCTGTGCTTGCCTGCCACAGCTCGCCACCCGAGCCACAGCCTTCCACCGAAAGGCCGAAAGGGCTAGGGTTGGTGGCTACCTCTGTCGGGAGCGGAAGCTCTGAAACGACATGTTCAGCCTAAGTTTGCTGAAGGTGCAGAACACATAACTAAGGCACAGTTGGGTCTAGCTTCTATGGGTTGGGGGTTGACAGCTCCAGAGCTCATGTGCGATTCTGCTCCATTTTTGAAGACACTGGTGCCAAAGCCAGGCGAAATCCAAACCCGAGATACCGAAAATGCAAGCGCGAGCCGTTCCTCTAACACATCAGGGCATCGTTTAAGCAGTCCTTGCTATGGCCACAAGAAGGCCAGTTCACGTCACTAAGCGGTACTAGTAGGTCGGGGAAAAGAAAGCGCTCCGATTGCTCCTTGGGGTTCCTGTCTCCGCTCTGCGCTCCGAAACCGCCGAACACTCCCAGAGGCTCCTTGACTCCAAGGACCGCGACAACCGAGCGCTCATAGACACGAACTGGCCACCCCAGACTCCAGACCCTCAGTCATAAGACTTTCCCATTAGTGCCCGAACCCCATTGTATTCCCTGTGATCCCGAAATCACAACATGAATGCCGTGCCTTCGAGATACTGCTGGAAGCCGTGCCACATGCCCGGGAAAACGTCTAGGTAGACCTAGGAGGTGTTTTTGGATTGGCGCTCGAGGGTTGGGCTTTCAGGTTCAGTGGCGTTCGTCGTTTTTCATTGCAATTGTGTGTTGCAGTGCTTGGGTGCCTTGGCGGAACGGTACCCACTAGGGTAAACGTTTGAGATCACCGCCGTGGTGTCTGCAGGAGCCCAAAACAGACTTCACGGCCTGGCAAGAAACACTGCCATTCAGACTGCTTGAGTCTTGATTCGATAGGCGTAGCAAAATGGTTCGGATGCTATTCTACACAGCTCCAGGTTCCTTGGGAGGTTCTCGGAAATGACTTTGGAAGTCGCCAGAAATCAAACCAAGAGCCGCGCAGACTGTTTCTGTACATGGTTCATACCGCATCATGAGGGAGAGGTGATTTAGGGTTTCGCGAAAAGTCAAAAAGCCAGACTTCTGGATTCATGCAACCGCCAGCCCCGAAGTCATATCAACAAGTATCCCAAATCTTACAGCCGTGAAACACCAATACCAATACCCCATGCTTCAACTTCAAGCACCAACATCCCCCAAACGTAATGCTATGTGGATGCTATGTGGATTCTGAAGTCAGGTAAAACAGTCCCGGGCCATCGTCGGCGTGACCCGGCGCAGGTCGGCGTCGGCATGGATGAGCTCGACCACACGAGCTGCCAAATGGAGAAAGGTGATGTTGTGCCTGGAGGAAACCTTGTCCTGGAACATGTCCTCGTAAGCAACAGCCCTCCCCCAGAGCTGAATCCCTGTAGGTCGGCCATCCGAACTTAAGCCGGTGGGCACAGCCAGCTTTGGAATGTGGATATGCTTCAAGATTTCGTTTATAGGATGGACGCTTTGCCGCATGTCCGATAGAGCCGGCTGACCTTCCGCATCTATGGCTGGCATGGTGCCAGTCAAGGCCTGCGCTAAATCGGGAGTTGCATTGTAGGCTGCAGGAACCAGAATGAAATCCAAGTCCTCGGCGTCGAAAAGAGAATTGTATCGCTCGACCTCGTCCTTGACGAAGGGCCCGATTGCATAGCGATAATCCGTCTCGCTTTTGCATGGCATGTCTTCATAAAACTTGGTGGGTTTGTGTGCACCAAAGGGGATCGTGTCTGCGCAAATCTCTTTGAGGCTGACAGGCGCATCCAGGTAGTCGTAGACGAACTGGGCAATTTGGCCAGGAAAGGTTAAAAACAGCGATTGGGGAGCCTTCTCGTCGGTTGCCAGCGACAGCACTCCCTGCTCAGAATCTGCCAGGGGCCATCCTGTGTCCTTGAGAGTCAGCGGTTTCAAAGCCGCCCTGACCGCATCGTAGGCCTTACGCATTATTCCGTCTAGCTGCCGGCTCTTGCCCTTCACCCACGGCCACTGAGGGCAGGCAACCCGGATGCCATGCAAGTCCCGCTGTGCGGCCTGCTTTGCGGCGGTGGCATGGACCTCCGCAGCGTCGTGGCGGTCTTGCATCAGTGCCCGATCGTAGAAAAGGAGATCTGCCATGCTGCGTCCCAGCACTCCAATTTGATCATTCGTAAATGTCATACCGCAATTCCCCTCGTTGGGGTAATGGTTGCGAGCGGGGTCGAAGCCGAAGAGGCCGTTAAACAAGGCTGGGACCCTCGTGGAGCCACCAGTGTCCTCGCTCACAGCGACAGGGCACATGTGCATGCTTACTGCTGACCCGGCTCCACCCGAGCTACCGCCAGGAGAGAAAGCGTGGTTATAGGGATTTCGGCACTGGCCACTCGCCCGGTTCGCCGTGTTCGGAGAGCACGCAAACTCCGGCACGTTGGTGGTACCGAATATGATGCCATTGCGACTGTAGATCATATCTGTCAGCGCGCTGTTTTTGACCGGGGTGTAGCTGCTCAATATGCCGACCCCACCGCCCGATGGAAAGTCAACAACAGCTGCAGTACCCTTCATTGGGATCGGCAGACCGTACAAAGGGCCAATGGCATCAACACCCTTC